CGTGGAGCTCTTTGCTCTTGTCTTTCTCCTCCCGGATCTTCTGCCTGCCCTCCTCATCCTCTGTGCCATTGGTCTCCCGCTCCATGCGCTCGCGGCGCTCCCTGCGCTCACGCTCCTGGGGGTCTTCTGGGGAGCAGGGAAAGGGTCTCGGAGCCAAGCACACACCCCTAGGGCTGGGGGGCTCCAGGGGATCCTGCCCCAGCCCCTCACAGCCAGGCAGACCATGGTGGGGATGCCACCTTACCCAGCATCTTCCTCCCCATCTCCTGGAACTGCTTCCTCTTCTTCCTCTCCTCCTCCAGCAGCCGCTGCCGCTCCTCCCCCTCCTGCTGCCGCCGTCGCAAAGCCTCGGCCTCCCGCTCGGCCTTGGACAGGAACTTGGGCTGGGACAGGAGAGGGGGAGGCTCACACTGGGCCTGGCCATGACCCCCTCACTGCTGGGACTGCCCGAGGAGAAGACACTCCCCCACACACACATCCATCCCGTCGCAGCTACTGCGGTCAGGGTACGAGAGAGCCCCGATGCGGGGAGGAGGCTCCCGCTCCTACCTTGGCTTCTGCCTCCTCTTCAGCCTTCTTCTTCGCCAGCAGCTCCTCCAAGGACAGCGGTTGGGCCTGTGAATGCGGGGCCAGACTGTTAGCAGCCCCCAACGGGGACCCTTTATCTCACCAGAGCGATATCCCCGGGCAGCCATTACCCAGCCAAGCCCCCTCTGCCCCCTCCTCACCTTCTCCTTCTTCAGGGCATTCTCTTCCTCTTCCTCTGCTTTCCGTAAGTCCCGCTCCTTCCGGGACTTTGAGTCCTTCCCCCTGCTCGGGGACAAACTTCCCAGCAAAACAAAGAGGAATCAGGCATCGAACAGAGCTCCTGGGTTACCCCACCCCCGCTGGCCATGGGAATCCTGCTCTCACCCAGGATAACACTTCCCATTGGGAACAGCCCCAGGGCGCTTACGTGAGAGCGGGGACACCCCAAAAAGAGAGGGGGCTCACCTTGATCGCTTCCTGTCCTTGTCCCGCCGGTGCCCATCCTTCTCCCGGTCCCGGTCCTTCTTGTTCCGGTCCCGGTCGCGCTCTTTGTGCCGACGGTCCCTGCAGAGCGGGACAGTCATGGTGCGGCCCCAGCCCAACCACCCACACCCTTGTGGGACCATTGCGGACACATGAGAGCAGGAGAGCTCTTCCCTAAAAAGCTGGGGAGTCCCCTGAAACACCCCTCACCTCTCTGTCGACTTGGACCGGGAGCGGGATCGTGACCGGCTGCCTCGTCTCCTGTCCCGGGACCGGTGACGCTTCCTGTCCTTGGAGGGGGAAACTTTCCGGTCCCGGTCCCGATCCCGGTCCCTGTCTGGGGTGCGGGAGCGCTTCCTCTCCTCCTTGGCAGGGGACGCATCCCGGTCCTTCTTGTCTGCCAGTTCTCCAGCCATCTGCAGGGGAGAGGGTCAGACTGAGCAGGGGATGGGAGGAGGACCACGGGAGGGAGTGGAAAAGGCTGGGGGACCCGGGGTGGTGGTGCAGGGGGCCTGGGGAGGGAGGGCGCAGGGGGACCCCGGGA